ATCCACGACGCGCAGATCGAACGTCGTCCACGCCGCATCCAACCCGCATATCCACGATCACGATCGAACACGATCGACACCACACGTCGATCTGGGGTGGATCGCCGCATCGTCGCGCCAGCGCCTCATCAAGCACGCGCCTCCGTAGGGCGGCGTGCATAACACCGCGCGCGCGCACGACCCCCCGCGCCCTGCGTGCCCCGTGACATCTGGGAGGAGCGGGGAGCGGTCGTTGCCATCGGTGCGCCATGCCCGGCCACAGGTACACCATGCCCATCGTAGACTAAGCCGCGGGGCGCACATGAGTGTGTACAGGCGGGGGGGGGCGGGGGAGTACACAAACACGGGACGTCGCGCTTGTCACCGTGCACGACGCCGGCAGCGCATCATGACGGCGCGCGCGCGCGCCGTCGCCAAAGTATCCCGGAAGCATCCGATCCGATCCAATCCACCCCGTGCCCAGCGGGGAGAAGGAAGACGTCGCCCAGAGGGAGAAGGAACGGACGAAGGATGAGGGGAAGGAAAATGGGCGTGGGGAAGGTGGCGTCCAGCCTCATGCCAGGCACGCAGCACCCCACAACGACGACGACGGTCGGCGCCGCACCGTCCTGCCGCCTCCCACACCAACCACCCACACCATACCACTTCTCCCCAGTCGTCCGTGCAGTCCAGCCCGCATCCACGGTACGGGGCGCTGCATAGAAGGAATGGAGCAGCCACCCAGCGCCGGGTCTGCGTCCTCGCAGCGCACGCACACTCCACGCTACGGCAGATCGACGACGTCCCGGATCCACCTACGTCCACGCTGCCTCACGCGCGCACTCGATCACTTCGATCTGGGGTGGGGCAGGGTGGTGGTGCTGGCATGGAATGGGGGGCGCCATGGGCATGGGCTATGGCGCAGATCCGCCGCATCACGCACGAGACGGACTCCGCGCCAGGCGTGGCGTCATCTGGGGAGAGCGAGCCGCCATCGTCCCGGCCGCAGGCACACTATGCCTATCGTCGGCTAACCCGCGGGGCGCACATATAGCTCGATGTGAGTGCATGCAGGCGGGGGCGGGGGCGGGGGCGGGTACACCAACAACACCCCCTACTTCCAGCGGGAGGAAAACCAGCCTTGTACACCGCGCGCGACCCCGCCGGCGGTAGCGCCGGCAGCGCATCATGACATCACGCCCTCGTCGCCAAGGGAAGGCACCGCCCCCTCGCCCAGAGAAGGACGACGTTCGCCAGAGGGAGCCGGGCCCATCGCCGGTGGTCTGGCGCGGCGTGGCAGCCCGTCGCCGACACGACACACACATCTCGTCTCGTCTGTCCACGCTCGCCTCGTCTCTTCTCGCGAGGACGTCGCCACGTAGGCCGTCAGCGAGACATGCTTGCTTCCTCGGCCCATCACAGCGCCACCGCATCCCACAAGTGGCGCAAAGGCCCCCACAACAAAAACGGCCGACCGCCTGCCCCACCACAAAAAACGGCCGCATGAAGCGGACGTCCCATCCACAAACGCCCCCATACAACGAAGAAACCAAAGAAACGAAAACAGACAAAAGAGAAAAACACAACACACCTGAACACACTCGCAATCCCTACAATCCTCCTCCTCGTCGACCGTGCGCCTCCGCACAGGCGTACGCGGCGTGCGGGGGCTCTCTACGCGCGCTGGGATGGCCCGGCCCAGGGGCGTCCGTGTGCGCGGGCTTTCCGTCCGAGCTATACCAGCGCCTAGGGGCGTCCGTGTGCGGGGCTCGCCACCGAGCGGCGTCCGCGTGCGTCCCTTCCCGCCAAGCGGCGTCCGCACGCGCGCGTCCGTGCCCGCTTGGCGTCGGCGCGATCACCGTGCGCGGGCTGCGGCGCGTTCGTGGGCGTGCGCGCCGTGTCCTGCGTCGTCCAAGTCGAATTGGCCGCCGCTGAATGGGCGGGCGTGGGCGTTTGGTGCGCGACACGGGGCTGCCGGGGGCTCTTGCAGTGGGCGAATGTGGTGAATTAGGGGCGGGTGAGTGCGAAGAGGACGTCGCAAGCACACGTGCGAGGCGCGCGCGGAGGGCGGCGTGGTGGCTGGAGGAAGAAGCTGATGATGACGAGGAGGATGTAGATGAGGCAGTGGATGAGGAGGACAACGGCGAGGCGACGAGGCCCGGAATCCCTCCGCGTCACCGCCGTAGCAGGCGAGCTAGCCGCGGACGCTGCGCGCGGGCGGGTGCGGCTGGTAGCGCTCATGCGAGCAGCGGGGGAGTTGTGTGTCGAAGAAGACGCAGGGCGTCGCGCAGGAGCTGTTCTGAGCGCGGTGTGGGCGGGCGACCTGGGAGACGAGCTAGAGCTGGCGGTGGTGGTGGTGACGGCTGTCGCGGGGAACAGGAGCGCGACGAGCCCAGCCGGCGCGCAAAGAGGCGGAGCGGTTGTGGCGAGCGGGTGTAGACGAGGACGCAGACACAGAAGAGGACGAACTGCGTGTGCTCGCTGGAGAGGGCGATGAATCCGATTTATTCAGTTCCAATTCCAAAGGCTCGTGCAGACTGGCGAGGCTGGGGATGGGTGAGAGCAACCCGAGCGACTGCGTGTGTCGGTGGCGCGCGGGTAGTTGGGCATATATCGGTGTGTCGGTGGTGTCGTGTGCGTATTCGTGTATTCGTGCATTTTGTATGCGAGTAGCAGGACAGGAGGGAAAGGGTGAAGCCAAAAAACCTGGTCAGCACACGACCAATGCTACGCACGACGAAATGACGAACCTGGCTTGCGATTGCAGCGACGTCAACGAGCGCTTCCTGTGCCATATTCTATTCCTGCGTTGTGGGTTTGTATAATGAATGAAACTCCTCGCAGAACACACGAGGCAGTCCCGTGTCCGTTCCGTGTGTCCCCTGCCTGTCGCCCGGCGGTCTGCTAAGAATCCTAGTTCCGTGCTTCCTGAAGTTCCTGAGGTTCCTATACACTCCGGGCTTCGAAAGACGAAAAGCGAATATAGCGCAAAGCAGAGTAGATGGTGGTATAGTGGTAAGCAAAGTGGTGAAGTAATTTCTTTACGTCCGTCGTTACCAACCCCTCTTTTGCGGGGATATTCGGTCTCACTCCTTATTTGTCCGGTCTCACTTTGTTTATTTGTTCGGTCTCACTTTCGGTATTTTCGGTGTCATCAATTGGTCAGCGGTAGGCAAGCCAATCGGGTTGCGCGCGTGATCCAAATTAAGTCGCTCCGGGAACCGCCGAGCGGGTTGCCATCAGCTGGGGTATTTGTTTGGTTTTTGTTCGTGTGATAATAAATACGGGATGACGCGGGGATGACGGCGCGCTGCGCTGCGGACGCCACGTACGTCCGAGTCGCGTCAGCGTGCCTGGATTCATACTTTTTTTTTTTGGGCGGGAAGGACACCGGGACCGGCCTCATTGCCCGTACATAACCGCGCGGATCACGCGTCCAGACAGATCGGAAGTGCGCACTTTACTAGTACAAACCTTCGGACTCCGGACATAGCGCAGAGCCCATGCAAGTTATCAACATCACTAAGTGCACATATTACAGCCATTGCATTAAACGCACACACCACCCGAACTAATTAATTAATTAACTAATCAATCCCACATCATGATTTTCATTCACGCTTTTTTTGGGGGGGTATAGAGGTTCAAAGGAGGGGAAATAAGACCCGGTGGTGAAAATGCTATCACGCCCACTCCCTATCAAAAGTTCGTGGTATGTTTAGGTGGGAGTCCCTTGTTCGAACCAAGGCCGGGTCATCTTGCCTTGCGATTCTTCTTTTTTTTTATATAAAAAAAAAAGCTTCAAGTCGGCACTGGTGTGTTGAGGTGAAAAGGAGGGGAACAAGACCCGGTGGTGAAAAATGTCATCATGCCCACTCCCAATAGCTTACGGTCTCTATGGAAGATTTGTGGGAGTCCCTTGTTCGAACCAAGGCCGGGTCATCATCCAGATCGTCGCTGCGATTTTTCCCCCATCAGATAAGCACCTGCTGGATTGCTATAAATTGAACATTGAGGAAGGAGGAATAAGACCCGGTGGTGAAAAATGGTATCACACCCATTCCCTATAGAGCAGCCAAGTGTTGGTTGAGGTGGGAGTCCCTTGTTCGAACCAAGGCTGGGTCATGGCTCGCCAGTAGATTCACAGAGTCTTTTTAAAAGAAAATCATGGCCTTCAAGGCACATATATTTCCGTTGGAGGGAAGGGATGTAAGACCCGTGGTGAAAATGTTATCACATCCACCCCTGTTGTGAGCGCATTTGGTTACAGGTGGGAGTCTCTTGTTCGAACCAAGGCCGGGTCATCATCACATCCGCGGCATTTTTTTTTTTTAAATCAACAACTGCAAGGTCATATTATTTGGTGCAAAAAGACCGGTGGTGAAGTGTATCACACCCACTCTCTGTTTGAGGTGTAGTTGTAGACAATTCAAGTGGGAGTCCCTTGTTTGAACCAAGGCCGGGTCATGCCGGGTCATATTGCTTTGCGGATTCTTTTTATATATTAAAAAAACCAGTAGCTTCAACGCCGGCACTAGTGTATTGAGGTTGCAAAGGAATGAATATAATTATAAGACCCGGTGGTGAAAATGTCATCACACCCACCCCCGTTGGTGCCAGGCGTTCCGTTGATGTGGGAGTCCCTTGTTCGAATCAAGGCCGGGTCATCATCGGATTCACGACGGCATTTTTTCTTTCTTTAAATCAACAACTGCAAGGTCATATTATTTGGTGCAAAAGAAGGGGAACAAGACCCGGTGGTGAAAATGTTATCACGCCCACTCCTGTTACGCGTCTATTTGGTTACAGGTGGGAGTCTCTTGTTCGAATCAAGGCTGGGTCATAGCTGTCCTGTCAATGACTTTTTTTAGAAAAAAAAAAACCAGCACGGCACTGGTGTATTGAGGTTGAAAGAAGTAAGAACAAGACCGGTGGTGAAAATGTATCATGCCCACTCCTAATACCATCCATCTTTCACTGCAAGTAGAAGTGGGAGTCCCTTGTTCGAGTCAAGGCCGGGTCATCATCAGATTCACGACGGCATTTTTTTAAAAAAAATCAACAACTGCAAGGTCATATTATTTGGTGCAAAGAAGGGGAGTAAGACCCGGTGGTGAAAATGTTACCATACCCCCCCTCCCAGTAACTGCTCCAATTAATTGAAAGTGGGAGTGCCTTGTTTGACCCAAGTCCGGGTCATAATGACTTTTTTTTTTTGGTCAAAACAAACTGGACTGCTATAAAATGAAGAACAAGAAGGGAGGAATAAGACCCAGTGGTGAAAAGCATCACACCCACCCCTGATACTCAGTGGCCAGGATATGGGAATCCCTTGTTCGAACCAAGGCTGGGTCATTTCCGGTTTGTTTGATTCTTTTTTATCAAAAAGCAATGCTGGACTGCTATAAATTGAACATTGAGGAAGGAGGAATAAGACCCAGTGGTGAAAATGAATCACACCCACCCCCAATATGTGTATGCTACTTGTCGAAGGTGAGAGTCCCTTCTTCGAACCAAGGCCGGGTCATGTAACCTTCGGACACTTTTTTAAAAAAATAATCAACAACTGCAAGGTCATATTTTTTGGTGCAAGAGAAGGGGAATAAGACCGGTGGTGAAAATGTTATCACACCCCGCCTGTTATGGGCGCATTCGGGTACAGGTGGGAGTCCCTTGTTCGAATCAAGGCCGGGTCATTATCAGATTCATGACGGCATTTTTTTTTTTAAAAATCAACAACTGCAAGGTCATATCATTTGGTGCAAAAGAAGGGGAATAAGACCCAGTGGTGAAAGTATATCACGCCCACTCCCTGTGATTTTGATTGACACGGGTAGTAAATGGGTCCCTTATTTGAATCAAGGCTGGGTCATCATCCAAACGGTGGTTTCGATTTTTCCCCCCATGCTGGATTGCTACAAATTGAAGAACAAGGAAGGAAGGAATAAGACCCGGTGGTGAAAATGTTATCACACCCACTCCCTATGCAGGAATTAGCTGACCGTTTAGGTGGGAGTCCCTTTTCGAACCAAGTCCGGGTCATCTTGCCTTAGGATTCTTTTTATTATTATTTTTAAACCCCCATGGCCACCAGCTTCAAGCCGGCACTGGTGTATAGAGGTTGAAAGAAGGGGAATAAGACCCAGTGGTGAAATGTTATCACACCCACCCTCCCTGGGTATCTGCTACTTCGGCATTTGACTCCTTTTACCAATGGTCTTTGTCAATTCACAGAAGGAGTGGAGGCATGGCAAATAATTTCGATTTGACCATAAATTAATCTGTCAGCCAATAACATCCGAAAAAGCTACTTAATGAAAACATTAGTGGCCACCTCATAGCTCACTCCACCCCCACTGCTACACACCCCCGCTCGTTATTCCCATATGGCCAGCTAGTCTACTTACATGTACCTATGTATAGTGCCACATGGGCCCCAAGAGGCCTGTGCGCACTCTAAAATGATCATGAAATGAAATGAAATGAAATTAGTGGCCACCACAACAAATATTTATATGGTTGGGAACATGTCAAGGTCACAACCGTTGGTAAGCTGAGCAATCCAGTGGTGGGTTTGAATGTTGTATTATCCACAGGTATAAGTACTGATGTTCGGGCTTCCTTGCATCCTGTATATGCACTCTCAAATGGACTTCCTGCTGAAAGGTGGACCGATCCTACAAGCTCTAAGAAATCAGAACCGTTTAGGAATTACTTGCTTGAGTCGATGCGTTCCTGAGCCTATGATCACTCAAGGGACTCATAGGCGTGGTGTGCGATGGTGGGAGGTGGTTAAAAGCAGAGTGATGGTATTCAGATGAGTCTGAAAAGAAGCAGATGAGACTTCAACATATTGTAAACCCGGACGGCTTTACTTACGATCAGACGATCACATGACCAGCTCTGCTCTTGCTTCTGTATTACTTACTTCGACCTACGAGATCTCGAATACACGGCCTGGTCTAGATTATCTCTGGTTCTCTTTCTCTTAGTGGAAACTCACCGTAGCGCGGCATCAAGTTAAAGATGTTGTCGGCCTGGCACCCTGAAACGGACGGTTCGAGTGAGCGCACAAACAAAACAATAAATCAAGCTATCTGGTACCACGTCGCCAGAACCAACACGGTTGGGTACATGCACTTCCACGCATTTGTTTCCACATGATGAATACTGTCAATGTGTCCACTGGGTTTTCTGCTTTCCAACTACGGACTGGTCGCCTCCCCACGCTTAATTCCTCCTATCTACACGCTCCCGCCCGAGACGCCCCCCTCTGAAGAGAAACTGGCCACTGACCTCATTGAGCGCATGCGGCTCGACGTACTGGAAGCACAGGAAAACCTCCTCACCGCCAAACTCTCCCAAGCCAAGCAAGCCAATCGAAAGCGCAGGACCGACCACGACCTCATGTCGGTGATTGTGTAAAACTCTCTACAGCTCATCGGTGCGCGGTGTACCTCAAGAAAGGCGACAAGCGGGTGGCCAAGTACATGGCCCGTTTCGATGGACCTTACACAATCATAGCAAAACATGCTGAGTGCTCCACTTTTACTCTCGACCTCCCCAACCAGCCCGATGTGTTTCCTGTTTTTCACTCCTCCGAACTAGAAACCCAATGTCGAAAATGACCCCGACCTCTTCCCATCGCAAACGCTCCCCGAGCCCGAACCAGTTATTAACAACGACGGCGACCCCGAGTGGCTGGTCGAGGATATCATTGACAAGCGACCGTGAGGAAAAGGCAAGCAATACCTCGTCCGGTTCTCAGGCTACAGCCCCGACCACGACTGCTGGCTCCCTGGCCACAAAGTAGCGGAACTCGAAGCCCTCGATCGCTGGCTCACACAAATGATGGACTAAAGGACGGTTTTGGTTTTTTTTCATCACTCTACCTATCTTTCATTCCCGGCTCGCGTTGTGGCTTCCCACAGGGACATGGCGTGTAGCATTGTACGTAATTTTTTCTCTCTCTCTGGATGGGATGGCAATTTTTCATGGAGGGGGAGGGTGTAAACCCGGACGGCTTTACTTACAATCAGACGATCACATGACCAGCTCTGCTCATGCTTCTGTATTACTTACTTTGACCTACGAGATCTCAAATACATGGCCTGGTCTAGATTATCTCTGGTTCTCTTTCTCTTAGTGTTTTCTCCCGTATTGTATACGGTGAGTTTCCACATATATATGATATATACAACTGCCGGTTGAACAGCACAATATATGTGTAATATTTACAAATTGCCGGTTGAACGGCAGTGTTGCATGGCGAGTAGCAGGTCATGGCAGCATCTGGTGGGATTGAAAGTAGAACACAAAAGAGATTTCAGTCAGGAAGGGCATAGCAATGGTTGAGATTTGAGGCAGAAACACAAATCACACTGCAATTTCAATGCTCTTCTATTCTCCTTCTACGAGTTCTTGAACCTCTTCTCCAGATTGGTCTGGACTCTTTTCAAGATCCGTCGCTGTCAAAACCCCAGGGGGAACATTCAGCTCTGTAAGTTGTAGAAGCTGTCTCTCATTGTGCTCCAAAATCGCAGCCTCAACCGTGGCTAGTTTTTCATCAATCTGAGCCACATCCCTGGCCTGTGAGGACCTTTCAAACAAGGGCCTTGCTGCCTTCCATAACTCAACTGCCCTCAAGATTTCTCCATGACTGTTCCAGATATCAGCTATTTGAACCATGCCATCGGCCCTCCACCTATGGACATCCATGAATGTGAATCCATCCAAAGCTACTTGGAACAGACTAAGTGCTGTGTCATCATCCCTCTGCACAGCGAAAATCTGGCCTAAACACCGGAATGCCTTCATAGTAGCCAGCTTGTTCTTGGACCTCAATGCTAGTACTAGGAATATCCCTGCCCAACCCATGGTGGTGTGTATGGTGTGCATTCCCATAGAAAGATCTGCAAGTCTTTCAAGGCAAAGAATTACCA